CCGCAGGCCTCGTAGTCGGCATCATCAGTGAGCTTTGCCACTCTCCGCACCAAGCTACGAACTCGTCAAAGAGACAAGTGAAGTCAATCCCTCGACAACCGTTCTGCCGAACTACACTATCACTCCTCTTTCTGTCATTACCTATCTATCTACTTTTTACCCTCTTATCCCACAAGCGAGAAGTTGTGATAGGGCGGCAGTGGGATAAGAGCGTAAAGAGTAGATAGATAGACAATGACAGAAAGAGGAGTGAAAGTGTAACCGTTTCTAGCAGAACGGTTGTCGAGGGATTGACTTCACTTGTCTTTTTGGCGAGTTTATAGCTTGGTGCGGAGAATAGCAACACTCACTAATGATGCCGAATACAATGCCGGTGAAACGTCTGAGAATCTGCCAAGTCCACTGTCAGATGTTGGAAATCATGACAACTACTATGGCAGACGACTTCGGACTAGGTGCGTTCTACATAGTCCCCCTGACAACAAGACCAAGTTGCGACAACGAGGTCAACCCACTTCAATAAATATGAAGTTTAAACCAAAGTTGTTTGCATTTCGTGAATGTGAGTAGTAACAATGACGGTACCAGAAGTTCCTAAATTATGAATGTTGCCTGATGAGACGAAATTCCACTTACTTCGTATAAAGCGAAAAGCTGAAATGGATGCATGGGACCGTCTAATTAAAAGATACAACCTTCACGAAGCTAGTCGTCAACTTCATTCGCCTTAGTTCCGATAGATTGCAAGTCAAGATTTAATTTGTTATGCGACCTAAATTGTCAGAGCCAGAATCATTATCTTAACAAAGCTCTTTCTCACTTCAAAAGGCGAATTAAAAGTTTGCACGGACACAGTTAGGATCGAGTTAACCAGCATAAATAGGAATATCGACTGATATGATGGTCAACTTTGTCCAACTCTTGCTCATAATTAAAGTTACAAATATGTCGGTGTGGAAGCCGACTGCACCTGTTTATTTTTGCAAAATCAGAACTCAAAAAGGGGGTGAACCTTTTGCATTTAAAGTTGTTCTTGAAAATAAATTTTCCCCAATGTGCCACACGACTCATTTCAATTCGTGTTAACATTAATACTTCGCTGGAGCCGTTAGTCCTTAAACGTACTACTATCTCTCTTTCCTTGAAAAAAGCGTATCATCCAAGACGTAATCATGTCTTAGCATCATGTTGTATAATAAATAAAGGCACATCAGCCTAACAGGTAGCGAGGATGAAAATCAGGCTTATAAGTTTTTGAAGAATTAGAAAAGCAAAAGAATACCAAAGCCCATGGCATTATTTAGAAGTTAAATGGCTTGGCTTTCGGCAAACATTTTCCTTAATTTTTTGAAGAAAATTTATCTTTACCACACAAGTTAGGCTCATATAAATTTGTATTGGGAAGGCTTTCATTTCAAATGAAGACGACGGCCGATTCTTGTTGTCTTGTTGCCGTTTGACTTTAATACGCTGTTCAAGTAGACGTTAAACGCAATTGGTTTGAGCCAAGTATTAGAAATCCTTTCAAAGATCGCTCAGTTGTACATGTTGATATCAAGGTCCATGCTGGCGCAAATCATCAGATAAATATGAAATCGTTTTCTTGACTCGTTAGCTTGAATTTTGTTGTGACGATGATGTCCGTCATAGGACGGAATCGAAGGAGATTGCCTCGGAAACAGCGTCAGCATGAATCTTCAAGTAAAGCCAATCGACAGCTGGTCCAGAGGAATCCGCCGTCGTCTTCTGATGTAACCGACCTTCGAACCTCTTCACCCAACACTTTCACTCGAAATGGAAGTAAGCTCAACAAGTTGACGTAGTCCACGAGACATACTCTCTCGTCGCTTACGAATACGTGCTATGCTCTCGTCCATCATATGACATCAGAGCTGGAAATCATTCTGGTAAAAGTCTCAAGTTAACACCAAGTCACAAAGACTTCCCGGCTCCATATAATCATAATTAAAAAACGAACAATTATAGACATACAAAATGATTTTGCTAATTCGCTTGCATATTGACAAAGAAACTTTTACTTGTGTGTGTTAACGTGTATGCGCAATACCGGTCCTAAATCAGAATGAGTAAAAAAGCTTAATGTCAAAAAGGGAGTATCAAATCATAATGACCTAAGTTGAAAACCTGATCAAAGCTGGATAAGACTGTAATCCTGTATGCAAATGAGTCAGATTATAAAACCACTCGTCATTCTAAGGTCAGTCACGCTTAATCATCCAAGAAAGGCATGACTGAATTTGCGTAATATCCCATCTCTGGTTTGGTTGATGAACTTTTACTTGCGAGTTGCTAAGGCGTAAGATAGAGCCGGACAGTCTCATTGACCTGGTGTTAACTTGAAAATTCTACAAGTATGAGCTCCAGCCCTGATGATGTCCACATATGATGGACGAAAGCCTAGCCAGTTTACGCAGCATCTACTTACATACTAAGTTGAAAGTCTTCCCAAGTTTATCTCAAGAGATTCATCGCAATCCAGTTACTTTTCGTATCTACAGCTAAATGTTTGTCTTAAATCGTTGATGCAAAATGTTATTCATAAATAAATATTGATAAAAAAATAGAACGGATTTCACAACTATGCAGGAAATTAGGATGTTTGAAATACTCGAAATATTTGCGCAAAAAGCCATTTGTTACAGAACCTTTTTACAAAAAACAAAATCCTTCGCAGAAATTGGATTATTTGATTAATACAGAAATATTGTATCCCTTTTACTAGTCATTTGCCCTCGGTAATATTATGGTACAATTATACATACATTTTCAGCTAAGTGACTGTTATCGAAATTGGCTCTAATGCATTTTGCATAAAGACCGGAGCATAATTCGAGCCAATATTGTGTAACTGTGCCCTCAACCCGGTTTACACCATATAGCAACGTAGCTGCAGTAAGTTCCTTCAAACTAGTGGCATTTTCATCTATTAGAAATATCACCGAGTCGTATCACAGCAATTCTCATAGCTTATGAATTCTGCATTTGAGCTAAGATTCCGTTATCAAGTGTATGAAAACCAAGATTTTGTGGCCTCCCGTATGGCCGCGGTCTTATTTCGTTTGATAATTTCCAGATTCGGACCGTGGACTTGGTACATTCCCAGACATTTCGATGGCATCGTCAGTGAGTCTTGTCATACTTACAATCACATTAAAACGCGTCGGAGACAAATAAAGTCGATATTTTTGCCATTGTCTTCTAAACACTTGTGGTATCTCTTTTTCTCTCATGGGGTATTCACTTATCCCATATTCCTGTATCCCCCCTTGAGTATCATAATTTCTTATTTGCTCGGTTAAGCCTGGTTCTGGTGTGCCCTTTTGCCTGCAAATCCTCTTCATCCACGTCCTATCAGAGTCTCCCTCTTGCCTCCTAAGATCCGTCTAAGAGCGCCACGGTTCAATGATTTCATTCGAAAATGTCGCCATATCCGTTCTGCTTGTGGCGATATATTCTACACTCTGCCTCAGGCCTTGCCTATCATGTTTACACCCACTCACTGAGCAGACCCCCAAAGTCTCGATTCTCAAGCTGGATGCAAAACTAACTTGATGCTGTAGATAACCTTATCATCGTGATAATCTCTGGCCGCCGCAGCATCTCTATCCATGCCTCCAAGTCTATGACTTCACTCTGCCCAGGGATAGTTAAGCTACATTTTTAAGTGGGATCACTGTAGATGTCTCATTTTGGTATACTATTGTTCTTGCCTAGCCTCCTTTTTGCAATTTATTTTCCTCAAATGAAAAATAATTTTCTTGATATAGTCATTTTATTTTTGCCGATCTTGTTGTTTCTTAATCTTCTCCAAGAGTCTTCGATGTTTCTTGATTCGTTGGGTGATTTTTCTTTCTGTTTCACCAATCTACTTCTGCTCACATTTGCCATATTTGAAACAATAAACTTCCGAGCAATCCAGTTTTCCGACCTTCTAGTATTGCGTCGATAAGCTAGTCAAAAGTATTATCTTTTACTTCGTAATTATCTGAATATCTAATTTTATTTACAATGATCCCATTTTTGACTCAGTTCTCAGGACGGCAGGCATATCAACTTTTGGCCGTCCTTCCAATTCCTGATATTATATACATAAAATCCAAGTTGAAATCTGCTCTCTATGGCTCTTATATATTTTTTCTATCAATTATTTGGGGTACCCGTTGCTAAGTCTAATCAAAGTGGGTTTGTTCAAATC